AGCTGGCGGTAAATTTTCCTTTTTTTAGGTAAAATAAAATTTTATTCTCAGGTGAAATCAGCTGGCGGTAATTAATACAAGACTATGAATGGTAAATATCATAAGGTTCTGTTTCTGTCCATGTTAACTTTGATAAGCCAAATTTGGTAACTTTAGATATTGATCGTTGCAAAATTACAACTCATGTTCATATACTTATGACAGTAAATAATGATATTGCCCCGTACATATATATGTATATATATATTACTGTATATAAATATACAAATAGTGTAATAATACTATTAATTAGTTAAAATAATTATTTTGATTTATTTTTTAAAATATTTAAATATTACTTATTTTTTGATTGAAAATAAAAAAACTGGATGTTTGAAACAAAAAAAATATAATAACCAAACTATAACAAAAGAAAATTAAATTTAAATTATAATAAACATGAAATTTAGAAAACAAATTTAATAATTATCGCTTTATTAAATTAATTTAATACTCTGATTTTCATTATAATCCCTCATTAATTACTATGTGATCATGCAAAGCAATTCTCTATTATTTAAAATAGTAACTAAAATAAAATAAAATATTATTTCCACTGTTATAATCATATAATTATGTAAGCATTAAAAACAAATAGTGTATTATAAAGCATCCATCACTTTGACAATAAACTAAAAATAAATAATTAAATAAATAAATGATAATCCCATTTAAAAAATTTCCCAATTCAATTAATTTGGTAATTTGAAAAAAAAAAGAAAAACTCACAAATCCAATTCACACAAAATTAATGACGTCTAAAAAAGTCAAATTCTCCAACGTTACATCCTTGCATTTCGGCTTAATGACAATAAATTACAATTAATTATTATTATAATTATAATTATTTTATTTTTAAATTAAAAAAAAACTAATTAATTTGTTTGACCAATACAGATGGTACCCATTTTTTTAAAAAATAAAAATATTAAATAATTAATGGTTTTATTAGTAAATTTTGACTTTTTAAAAAAAAAAGTATGAACAGAAATAGGCTGTTTGGATCGCAGGAAAAAACGGGATTGGTTTGACTTTTGACTGGAAAGTTAGCGTTGATGAGTTGGGACTTCACCTTTACCTCACGTATACTAATACTAACCGACTACCAGCCAACTTGAAGTACGAAACCACCTCATTCGTTTCCTAATTTGGTCCATAGAATTAAACTAAATTTTAATTAATAAGAAATTTACTTAAAAAAATATTTAATCATTTCAAAATTACAGGGATTGATTAATGGAAATAAGAATAAATTACGGGAGATTTTTTTAATATATATAAATTAATTATAAAGTGTAATTTATAAATTATATATTTTAGCGTCTAATTTTTGTTGGAAATAATTAAGTAAAAATTAGTATAATGTGGTGTTAAAAATTTTAAAATTATGGTCGTTAATAAAATATTTTTCATTTTAATTAATTAAATTTACACTATAAAAGTCTTATTTTTTTTACAAAATTGCCAAGATATTTTCATGAAAGAAGCAAATAATATTTTCCATTTTAAGTAATTTTTTTTTTATTTACTAAATTTGAAAATCCGAATAATGTCTACATGAATTGAAGATTGCTGTATTTATGGTAATTCAGTAATTTAAAAAAAAGTAAAAAAAAAAAAAAGAATCTCGTTTCACCCCGGCGTAAATTAGCCTGCGTCAGGGGAAAATGACGCGCTAGTTAGTTATCACTTATATTGGACGCCTCCACTGTCCTGCAGCCTCCCTTTTCTACCTCTATAAATACTAACAGAAGTCTCACAAGAAGGAAAATCAAATTCATTTTCACACACTCTCTGCTATCATTTCTCCGATTCAACCGAGAATCTCCTCCCTCAGATCCCAAAAAGTAGCAGCTGTTATCCGCTCTTGAAATATGGGAATGGACAGCAATACGCGAGACCAAAAAGTGGCGATGGAAGGCGGATCGTATGTACTCGAGCAGGAAGATGAGAAAGAAGAGACGTCGATTGAGAAGATCTTTGAAGCGAAGGAGGTGCCGCCATGGCAGAGACAGGTGACGGTGAGGTCTCTGGCGGTGAGTTTGGTGCTGGCGGTTCTATTCACCTTCATTGTTATGAAGCTGAATTTCACCACCGGTATTATACCTTCGCTCAATGTTTCGGCGGGGCTGCTCGGATTCTTCTTCGTTAAGACATGGACGAAGCTTCTTCACCGAGCCGGACTCTTGAAGCAGCCGTTTACTCGCCAGGAGAATACCGTCATTCAGACCTGCGTTGTCGCTTCCTCTGGCATCGCCTTTAGCGGTACGTACGCTTGACCGTCTTCATTGCTTTTTGGTTATGAAACGATGACGCTTTTTCTGATCTAACCTACTCATCTTCTATTTTAGACATACATGCATTTATGAACTTCCACTGTTAATCGTCGTCATCACTATGTGAATCTGATCATGCAAATTACCTGCTGATTATAATTTTTAGCAGTTTAAATTTTTTAGAGCACTAATTAATCGAGATTTCTATTCTTATTATTAATCGTAGTGGACTATATTTAGAAAATTGAAAAAGAAAACTTCCATGGCCGTCCATACTGATTCAAATTTCTCAAGGTTGATCGGATTTGGACAAGCATTAAGATTCCAGCATGGTAGCATAATTTTTAATTATTGTAATTTTGAAGAAAAATTATATTATAATTTAAACTAAAGTCGGTTTGATCAATATACATTTACAAATTATATTACATATATATACTAAAAGATCTTTTTACTCTTCATATATCTATATATATATATAAATATGTATATGCTGTTTGGTGGGTCTTGTTTCCGGAGAAAATGAAGAAGAAACTGATTAATATTAGGCGGAGAAGAAAAAGAAATGGATGGTAAGTTGAGCGTCAGGTAACGGGATAATAAATACTCGTTAGCTGTCTCTGTCATGATGTATATAAATAGTGGTCAATGCCACTAATTAATCCAATATCCTAACTTTAACATATATATCAAGATTTTTGGCTTCTTGAATCCAGAGGTTATTTTTTTTTTTAATTATTAAAAGTAAATCAACTTTATTCATAAGAAAATATTATCAGTGACACATATGAACGCAAACATTATTAGCTCCTGTACAAAACCAGTCATTATCCTTAGTGATCCCTCAAAAAACAATGTCTCCAAGGATCTTAGGTTGTCACTAGCTGATACTACATACCATATCCAAATTTTTTTTTCTTAATTAAAATGATATCACATACTATAAAAAATAAAGTTTAATGTTAAGTTATATATGTTTTTATCAAAATATTATATAAAATATTTTTTTTACAATAAATTTACGATTTATTATAATTACCTCTGATCTACTCCAAGTTCATACATGTTTATGGTTTAAATTATCTATGGCACATTATCTTCATAAATCTTTTATAACTAAATCCACAATTTCCCTTTTTGGTTATTTATTTGTAGAAAATAGTCAACAGTATTGGCAGTCAAAGAGTCAAAATGAAGATGTAAGGGAATCAGATATTTCTATTTTTTTTAAATCGATTATTTGATTTTTTTGTTGTAGATAACTTAAACTCAAAAAGAGAAGTCTAACTTGGGAGAACAACAATTTTGAAAAGTTGAGCCACTTGATCAAAATACAAATAAGTCAGAGGTCTAAATGTTGGATAACTATAACTTAGCAAACCATTATCTTGATTAATAGTAACTCAAGTAGGTGGTTGTTTAGGGATTGGCAATGTGTTATTGGAATTATTGAGAGTCAATAACTATTAATTTCCTCTTCGGCAGAGCACCTAGTTCACATGGCTTGATGAGGTCAACGTTATTAAAATAATACTCATGAAGCAACATATTTTAAGTAAAAAGCAGTTTATAGACTGGTAGGTTCATGCAGTTTACGTGCATTAATTAATAAGTAATCCAACTTTGAATTATTTGATACAAGTATCTTATACACGAGATTGTTTTATTCTATTAATTTTTTACTAAAAAGCAGCTTGTAGACTGATTTTAGCTCAACTTATTTTGAGTTAATCGGTTTAGGTATCCATCTAAGTCAAAAGTAAATTTTCTGTTTTAAGTTATAGACAAATCTCTTGTAAATTAATTTTAAAAAACTAAAAATTTTATTTTCTTAGACCATTAGGCATTTAATAAAGTTTATTTTGTTTCTTTTAATTTTTACTGAAATTTCTCAATCATAAATTGTAAAATTTTTGTTTGTGCAATTTGAAGTTGTTTGTTAACTTTTTAATTTATAAGTACTCTTTTTAACCAACACTCGGGTATTTATTTAAGGTTTACAAAGAAAAATAGATAAACAAAAACAACATACATATAAATTCAGAATATCATTATCTTATCAATGTTAGTTTTTAGAGTTTCCCATCTCTTGCTTCCATTAATGCATTGCTATCTCAATGAAAAACAGGTGGTTTTGGTAGCTACCTGTTTGGAATGAGTGAAATTGTTGCTAAACAATCGACCGAAGCCAATGATCCGAAGAACATAAAGAACCCAGCAATCGGATGGATAATTGGTTTTCTATTTGTTGTTAGCTTCCTTGGTCTTTTCTCTGTGTTACCTCTTCGAAAGGTATGTTCTTTTAACTTGAGGTAAAGTTGGTTCAATTTGAATGATAATTCTAAATCACAATTCTAAATTTTTATTTGTATTTTTAAAAAACCAAATCAAACTGAGTTAAAGAAAATAAAAACGAAAATAATATAGTATGTTTCCCTGATTATGCTCATGTTCTCCAATGTGGTATGAAAAATGCGTTGCAGATAATGATAATAGACTTCAAATTGATATATCCAAGTGGTACTGCTACTGCCCATCTGATCAACAGTTTCCACACCCCTCAGGGTGCCAAGCTAGCAAAGTGAGCTTCTGGACATCACAACGTTAATCAATTTAAGTTGTTCTTCTTCGTTATCAACTGGCTAGAAACAGATTTAATCTGTTCTGTTCTTGATTTCAGGAAGCAAGTTCGACAATTAGGGAAGTTCTTCTCTTTTAGCTTCTTGTGGGGTTTCTTTCAGTGGTTCTTCACAGGTGGAGACGGCTGTGGATTCGCTGAGTTCCCTACATTTGGTCTGAAAGCCCATGAACACAAGTACATAGATTCCCCTTTTTCTTTGCATTAAAACAATTTATAAATTCGTATTTTAGGATACATGGAACAAATTAAAAATTTTTGTAGAAGAGGTTGATAAAATCTTTCTTAAACTTAAAAATTGATTTGATATAAAATCACATCGTAAAATTGGAATGAGTGTTCTGGATTTCATTAACATTCCTTGGATTTGGAATAATATTGTTTAAATTATACGTAAAACATTATAACAAAATTAACATTGTCTTCAGTAACATCTACAAAAAAAAACTCCATAAAATTTCTAGACTGTGCTCTAAGCTGTCCTTGAACTCTTTTTGGATGCTGATTATGGGCTTGCTAGTTGCTAGTGACGATATTGTACTTAATCTCTACTCTGTTTCTTTTCCCAAAACCAGGTTTTTCTTTGACTTCTCAGCAACCTATGTTGGTGTTGGGATGATATGCCCATATCTGATCAATGTATCTCTTCTTGTTGGAGCAATTCTCTCATGGGGTATTATGTGGCCTCTAATTGATGCCAAGAAGGGTGACTGGTTCTCCGCAGACCTCAGCCCCAGCAGTCTCCACGGCCTGCAAGGTTATAAGGTAATAATAACTTGGATTGTATTTTCTGCATTAATTATAAGCATTAGTATTTAACCCTTAGATTATAATATTTGGAATTGTGCCTATGTATGTTGCCAGCCCGAATTTGTTGTAATGTTTTCATGATAATTTTCTTTCATCTGCTGCTTGTGACATTCGGAAAGATTGATTTATATCACTTCTTTATGGATTCTTGTATGCAGGTCTTCATAGCAATAGCTATGATTCTTGGTGATGGTCTGTACAACTTCGTTAAAGTCCTGGGTCACACTCTAGCTGGATTGTATAAACAAGTGAGCCGAAAAGATACCGTCCTCCCAGTCAATAGCCGTGCCTACCCAGAAAACACCCCAGCTATTTCGTATGATGAACAGAAAAGGACTGAACTCTTCCTCAGGGATCAAATTCCAAACTGGTTTGCAATTTCTGGCTATCTGGCGATAGCAATTGTCTCTATCATAACACTCCCCCACATTTTCCCTCAGCTAAAATGGTACTACATTGTGGTGATCTATATTGTAGCACCTGTGCTGGCTTTCTGCAATGCCTATGGCTGTGGGCTCACAGATTGGTCCTTGGCATCAACCTATGGAAAACTAGCAATCTTTACAATTGGGGCATGGGCAGGGGCAGCTCACGGTGGTGTGATAGCTGGTTTAGCAGCCTGTGGTGTGATGATGAACATTGTGTCAACAGCCTCTGACCTGATGCAGGATTTCAAGACAGGCTACATGACATTGGCTTCCCCAAGGTCAATGTTTGTTAGCCAAGTCATTGGAACAGCAATGGGCTGTGTGATCTCCCCCTGTGTATTCTGGCTCTTCTTGAAGGCTTTCAGTGACTTTGGTTTCCCTGACTCTCAATACCCTGCTCCATACGCTCTCGTGTACCGCAACATGTCGATCCTTGGTGTTGAAGGATTCTCAGCTCTCCCAAAGAATTGCCTGACATTATGCTATGTCTTCTTCTTCGGGGCAATGGTAATCAACGGAATCAGAGATGCCGTGGGCAAGAAAAGAGCTAGTTTCATTCCATTGCCAATGGCAATGGCAATTCCATTCTATCTCGGTGCTTATTTCGCCATTGACATGTGTGTTGGGAGCTTGATTTTGTTTATCTGGAGAAAAGTGAACAAGGCTAAGGCTGATGCATTTGCCCCAGCTGTTGCTTCAGGCTTGATTTGTGGGGATGGAATATGGACTCTGCCAAGCTCAATTCTGGCCTTAGTGGGCGTGAAGCCACCAATTTGCATGAAGTTCTTGTCGAGTTCAGCAAATGAGAAGGTGGATGCTTTCTTGAATTCTTGAGATGGTGCAAAGGTTAGGTGTGTTTCTACTTGGGTAATTCAGCAGAGGTACTCTTTTTAGTTTTAAGCTTATAAAGTGTTGTCGTTTTATGCTTAGCTACTTGAATGGGAAAAGGGGGGAAAAAATGTAAATGACAGTAGCTTTTAATTTTAATACCATCGTCAACTCAGCAGGTTTTTTATGTAAAGGATAAGATTTAGAAATTTTTTTAATAATGCATTTTATGTGTAAATTTATGTATGTGCAGGAAATTCACTTTTAAGTTTCTAGCTTATTGTAACTGAATGGGTTTATTTATTTATTTTGCTTTCAAACCGGAATTAACTCAATCCACCAGACCCGACTCTGGTTTTCTTAATGGATCATAATGAGTTGATTTGAGTTCATAAAGATTATTACCTAGATAACAAAAAAAAGAATTAAATTACATGAACTGAATTTTCAAGAAAATACAAAATTTGAATTGCATTTGTGTTAATTAATGTAGAGGAACAATATAGATTAATTCCGCGGGAGAAAAACTTTTGATGTCTCCCATAGGAACAGGTTTAATTGGTTTGTTCCTCAAAATGAATTAAATCCCTCTAATTATATTCAAACATTATATATATATATATACATATATATATATATATATATATATATATAGATTTTAGTTGTGATTGGAAAAAGCTGGTAGCAAGAAGCAAAGGGTAAAGGAATATGGAGACAGACATCTATTGAGGAGGTGACTGAGAGCAGAAACTTGCTGGATATGGTGTTTTCTTGGTCTTTTACAGATGTTTCTCAATGGAGATCTTTACAACGACAAGGTTCTGATTCGTTCCTTTACATCTCTTCTCTCTGCTTATACAAACTATATATGGTTATCCCTTCTCTCTCTTAAATGTATTTGAGTTAATATCGATCATTACTTAGCTGAATGGTTAGTAAATTCTTTGCTACTTTCTTGTGTCTCTTTATTGAAATATTACCTTTTATTATGATTGATGTTTATATATCATTACTAAATGAAAATATATTTCTGTTAGTGATTTTGAAGTTTCTTATGCAAATGAGTGAATTACTTGGTGTAAACTTCAGCATTTTTAACTTGCTGTCCTCGATATATGTATCTAATATGTATACAACTGGTCGGTAAGATTCCTGAGACTTTTGAATCACCTTTGAATTACCTGGAATCCTTCATTCCTCCTCTGACTGAAGAAATGCATTCAGACTTGTCATCAAGTTTGAAATCAATTTCTCAGACCACACCAACCTGTAAAATACTGGTTGTTGAAAAATCCGATGACAATAAACTTCTTAAGGATTTGTTCTATACAATTAAAGTAATAGGAAAGAGAGATCCCAAGAAGAAAACCAATTCACAAAAGTATCAGCCATATTCCAAGAGTAATAATGTAGGCAAGTATCGGCTAGATTCCAAGAACAATAATGTAGGAAAGTATCAGCCAGAGGTGGGAAATCTTATTGCCTTGACCGGAGTAAGGCCGAAATGTATTGATGATCTCAACAGGTCAAAAAGATCTTATATCATTGCTCATGTTTATGGGGTAGACAAAGATGATCCTGATAAATTCTTTATACGCACATCAAAGCCTGTTGTGAACGAAGATGGTATTGAGACTGGTAGGAAATTCATATTTCGAGAAGATGATGAGGAAACCTCGAAGAAGAAAGAAATGCTTTATGGAGTTTATCTTGTTAACATGACAACAAGTATTCGAATATGGAAGGTATTACATCCGGAGCTTGAAGGGAGAAACTTGAATATAATCTAGAACGTGTGTCAACCCATGTCTCATGTAAGTTTCTTAAGTACTTCTTAAGTTCAAATGACTTAATTACTCGAAAATTTTGGTTCGTTTCAATTTCTAACTAGTCATTTCTGTGTTATATTTCTGCAGGGGAGTGAATCAGGCTGCGCTGAATGTTTATCTGAACAGATTGAAAGCCCAGGAGTTTTGAGTCTCTTGAGCATGATTCGATCTTTTGAGTTAAATTATTCCCAGGAAGCTGCAGTTTTAAGTTGTGTCAGAACAACGGAGTGTTACCATGAGAACTCTGAGAAATTGATTTGGGGTCCCCCAGGGACTGGCAAGACAAAGACAATTGGATTGCTCTTGTTGGCCCTTCTTAAACGAAGATGTAGAACTGTCACATGTGCACCAACTAATGCTGCAGTCCTGGAAGTGACAACACGACTCTTGAGTTTAGTTTCAAAGACACTTGAAGGTGATATTTATGCAGTTCAAGATATTGTTTCTCCTGAGAATGGAGAAAGATTGAAAAGTGATGATCACAATGATTATCCTAGTTTGTCTCTTGATTATCAACATGAACACGAGCTTTTGGAGATACTTGTATATAACACTTATGGACTTGGAGATATTGTTTTGTTTGGAAATAGAAAATGATTGAAAATTGATGATCGTGATGATCTTCTTGGTGTCTTTCTTGATTATCATGTTGGCATACTATCTCGTTGTTTTTCCCCATCCTATGGTTGGAGTGCTACTTTGTTGTCCGTGATATCTTTTCTTAAGTACCCAGAAAAGCAATATTAGAGGTATTGTCAAATATGGAAAACGAACAACGATGAGGAAGACAATGAAGAGGATGAAGAAACTAATCCTGGAATTTACAAGAATGACGAAATGTGGTATCAAATTATCTTGAAGTCCTTGAAAGTGAATCAAGACAGAAAAAACTAAGTGTCTGATGAAAAAAAATCAGAGAAAAAACTGTGTTAATCCTCTCTCATTTGAAGAGTTTGTA